GCCTGGGCAGAAAATTCCAGGAAAGGCCCACATTTTCTGTCTTCCGCTCATCCATGCCAAATGGGGAGGGCACAGACCCCACCCCAGCAATGTCACCGATGGCCTCGATGCAGTCAGAAAACAGCAATTACAGAGGCTCAAAACTGTAACGCAGACCACTTAGCAGGAGCGGCCGACTGCCAGCTAATGCTGTGTTTGCTCCAAGCACGATGACTCCTGTGTCCGGAGATAATGGAAATGGAGAGTGGGGACAAGGGAGAGCCACTCAGAGGAGCAGTGCTTCCAGATTAAGAGGTCAGGGGAACAAAGGGCTGGACTCCTGCAGCAGCCACGAGGGCTTCTGCCGCCGGATTTACCTAGAAACTCTTTTCCCTGGAATGGCTGGAAGCCGGTCACGTGGAAAAGAAACTTGTAGCCTTGGCTTGTAAGGCAAAAATGCTGCGTTCCCATTATTTTCTCCCTTCAGCATCCTACTAATATGACTATTACAGTTTTTGTTCCTCCAAAATGTTGTTTAATAAATCTCGACACAGAGGCAATTGAAAAGCTTCAGCTCAAATTAACAACAGCTGTGTGTTCAACAGCAGCCGCTGCCCCAGTGAGAAACCTTTTGTGGGAGTGACAGCTGCAAATTCTTAACATTCTTTGGGCAAGTGGTGCAGGCTCGGTGGAATTTTAAGTAATCGACACAATGGCTGGATTCTTCCCGCGGCTCCAAACCGGAGAACAAAGTGATTACTCTCACCCCCGTGAGGGCGCAGAACTTGCTCGTAGATGTATGAATTTTCATACACTGTCATGTACTAGTCTTTGAGGCCTTAATTTATGACTTTTAAATAAAAAACAGTGGCGCCCTGATATCCTTCCAGGATAATTTGTTACACCGGAAAAAAGTCTTTCGGGGTGTCACGTATCCAAATGAGTAGGCAGTGTTCTTCGGTGACAAGATGACTAACAGAAGACGAGGAGCTGTCACAGTTACCGCCATCTCGCCGATTCTTCCTGTACCATTACTCAAGGCTCAACCTCCTGGACAAACCCATACACCATCCCGCATGGTGTGATTCACAAAGAGAGCCTAGGCTATGAGGTTCCATTTTGAAAGGGTCTGTGAACACTTAAAAAAAAAAAGGTTAAAAAAACCCTTTATTGTCAACCCTCCAATGTAATTTAAAATTTTTAGTGGTAGAGCCAGGCTTTAATTCCCGTCCCACCCCAGCCTCAGTGTTCCCCTCACCTCTTCAGCACCAATGACCTTCACCTCTAACCCAAATTTCACTCCCTATCGATCTGGCTGATCCTGAGAGTTCGTCACTGCTTGGGTCTATCCTCCCACCCTGATCACGTCTTCCTCTCCCTGTCTCTCTTCCC